AAAAAAAAAAAAAAAGACCACAGAGGATTCATTGGAGTTGCCCATGCCTGACTGGGATAGTTGAAAAGTATGATACCATATTTACATTCAAGTGACACATATCTTACTCTGGGATGATCCATACTACCTGGTTAACTCACAATGATTCCACTTTAACTGCCATGGTAACATCCTATGAAATCCTGCAGTTTGTAGTTTAGGGATAATTGTTTTGAATTCTCAGCCAGAAATAGGTTTTTGTGGGTTTTTCAGGCTGTGAGGCTATGCTCTAGAAGAATACAGAATACATTCTCCTAGAACATGGCCCCACAGCTCAACAAAACTCACAAAAACCTATGGATGCCGGCCATGAAAGCTTTGACTTCATTCAGTCAGAAAAGTTGTCAGATTACAAATCCCAGGATGCCACAATGGCAATTAAACAAGAATCAGAGTACCATAACTGTGTAGTGTGAAAGCACCTCTTATCCTTTGCTTTTCAAACTTTGTCTTGCCACACAAAGTCCTTACATTTGGTTAAACGTAACCACACAGTCCTTACATTTTTCTTTCTCTCTTGTATTTTTATGTTTCAGGTGATCCAGTTCAAGAAGTTGCTCTTAAACCTCTCAAACCTGAACCAGGCAGCAATAAGCATAAACAAGTCAAGATTAGGTTTGAAGAGTGGAAGAAGTGACATAACTGTGAACTAAAAGAGTAAATGCAGATAGCAAAACCAAGCTTCTTATTTCTGTCACACCAAGATAGGATTAGCAACTGTCTTCATTGTTATTTATGCTCATCATAAAAGTCTACATTCTAGAACTACAGCTGTTGTAGTAACTGTGTATGTTTTCAAGTGATGCGATGAGCAGTTTTACACTGTATTTTGACACTAGCCATCCCTGCAGCCATTGTGGACCACTTTGGCAGGGGTAGTCCAGGAAAGAGCAAATGTGAACTTGAAGTTTGAAAAAGAAATGTAAACTGGCCTTTCAGGCTAATGTTCTGATTGTAAATTATCCTCCACTTTTCTACAAAAAATTCTACTAAGGCAATGGAGAGCTGGCCGGCTGGTCAATCTCACCAGTTACTGTCACTCATGATAAATAAGCCTTGCCATCTGTCTGGAGTACTTTACAACTCAACACCTTGAAATGCAGATTGTGATAATGCAGTTCAACCCAGCTCTGCAATGTGTCAACTCTGAATATTTTGCTCCTTCATGACTTGTAAACCAACAAGTTGGACACCACCCACCAGCACTATAGTGTGCTTCCTGCCAACTGCTTGTGTTGGCAGCTGGAAGTCAAGGAAGACTTTGCTGTTGTAGTATTTTTTAAAAAAAACCTAAGTGTTCAGAGCTTCAACTTGTTAACTTTTTAAGAGACACAAAAAACATGTAAGTTCTTATGCATATGCTCTTTTTAAAGTTGTTAAATCATATATGGCACTAAACTAGGGGCCCTGATGGACACTATTATGTAAATGTATTATTTCTGGAAATGGCCATTCAGTTAGAAGTGTATACAGTAAAATGCTGCCCTTGATACAAATCCTAGTAAGCCAATCTAGAATAACAACATGCTTGATGATAATTAAAACTGTGAGAAGTTTCAAGAGAATGTGCATGATGCCACTTCTGTCCTCCTCTACCAAAGGTTATCCATTAAAGGGACAAGGTCATTTCCTTGCCAAAGCCAGAAAACAGTGGATGCTGATAATTGTGCTAGCTCTCTCTCTCTCTGGCTTTTCT